AAGAATGCTTGTCTTATGGAGGATCTGTGAATGAAGAGAGTCTTTCTGAAATGCAAATTCGGTGGGGTTTTCGGGTAAGAATATTGCAGTTTCCAATATCCAGGGGCCGGTTCTTAGCCTTGAAAGCTCAAAAACTAATTCTCCCGAATCAACGAGGCATTTCTGCCCTGAAAAAGTGGAGTTTTCACACACACAAACTGCAAAGCCATCCCTGCAGCCCACTTCTGTCTTCCATTTAATTGAATTTAGGAATAAATCGGAGGGATTTCGTGGGACTTTCCTCAGAAGTGAAAGAAGACCCGTAACGAGCCGAATGTTGGCTCCATCTGCACTGCAGAATTAATGCAGTTTGACACCACTTTAAGCGCTGTAGTTGAAGGGAGAGTAAAGGACACGTTGGCCGCATCTACACTGCAGAATTAATGTCCTTTGACATCGCTGGAACTGCCATGGCTCAATGCTATGATATCTTCTGGGATTTGTAGTTTGGGGAGCTATTTAGCCTTCTCTGTCTGAGACCCCGGGTGCCCCCCCACCAAACTATAAATCCCAGGACTCAGATGCAATGCAATGCAGTAAGATCCATTGAAACAACATTATTTCAGAGTAAATGCGCTTTATTTCAGAGTCAACGTGCGAAGGATCGGGCTCCGTTTTCAAGTAGAAGAAACATAAGGGAAAACAAACAAAAAACAGATTTTAAAACCCTAAATGCTAACTACATTTTATATGCCCTGAATGTGGTCTTCGAAAATGAGAATATTTCCCTTTTTCTGGTAGGAAACAAGAGATGATGAGCCTCTTACCGTCTATTTTTTTTATATTTATATATATTTACACAAAATATATCCACATTTTGTATACCTTTTGTGCAAATAAAATATACTGATATTTGTTGTGCGTCTTGGAAAGTCAATTTATTCTCTGATTTCATGTCTCTCTCTCTTTTTTTTTTTAAGTATACGTTTATATGTTTCTTTTCTTTTCTTTCAGTTCTTTTATGTTTTGCAGAGGGAAACAGTTTCCAAAGATCGGTCTCCTGAGTCGTCCTACAGTGACGTTAGAAATAATACATAAAAATAATTAAAAATATTTAAAAAATAATAATTCCAAAACCTCTTTTCTATCCAAGAAGGAGCAGTTTCCAAAGAGGCAACTTTCTTTGCCTTGTTGCAGAAAAAAAAAAAAAGGGTGAAGAATCCAGTCCGACCTTTAAAAACGAATCCGTTTAAATAAAAATAATTTGGCATAAATTTTCTTGGGAAGAGTAACGGGGATTATGTCTACAAAAAAACTTTATTCTGCCATGAATTTGTTCTTCCCCGATCTTCCCTATTATTGATGAAATAACACCCTTCATTTGGGACTTTATTTTCACATTATTATTATTATTATTATTATTCCGCTTCCCCCCTGAAATTGGGACACAAAGCAGCTTGCAAATTATTATTATTATTATTATTATTATTATTATTATTATTAGGATGTTTTCCTTTTCTTGAATTTTTTTTCTTTAAATACTGAATATGGGCTTTTATATGAGGTGTATGTATTAGTTGTGTTTTTAACTTTTGTATGTTTTAAATGTTAATTTTATACCA